AGACCTAAGGCGTATTTACTTTCATCAGATGAGAAAGGTGTCTCAGCTGGGTAGTCCTAGCCGCCCTGGGAAACTAGGGCAGCCAAGAGACAAAGAATGCATCCAAGTAAGACAGCATTGCACCTAACTTGGGTGGAGCGTTGTGTAGAGCATAAGGCCTTTGACCTTTGTCACCACAGCCCTTGAGTGGAATGGGATCCCCACACCTGCTAGCTCAGCCTCGACCTGTCACCTACCTCATGTCCACATACATCTATTTCTATAAACATCCAGCTTTCTTGGTGTCAGTCATTCCGAGGTCCCTGGCCGCTTTGGCCACTTGTGCTCTTCTGCACACTGAAGTTCCACTTTGGTCTCTGGTCATCACCTCACCAACACCTGGAGCCCTACGACATACTCTGAAACTGATGGTCCTTTATCTCTAGAACAACTTGTATTCTTAATAAATCGTTTAACTTCTATGATTTAGAAGAGAAAAATCCTTGAGTTTTGTTCCAAGATACTGCTTCCCACACTGTCTCTCAAGTGGTGGTTACGGTCATCCAGGAGCCCTGGTACCTTCGGGTCTCTGCTGTCTTTATCTCTAAAATCCCTCAGCTCTGAGTCTTGCATCTCCTGATTGCATCATATACTCATTGATCCCTGCTTACCCTTAGGTGTTCCTCTTCATTTCTCAAGAATTTTAGCTTCTTAATCCCTATTTTTTCTTCTAATGTCAAATCTAAGGTAAACCCCACTTAAACGCAGGGCTGAGAATCAAAAACCCATCCGCTAACCATCAGCAACCCCTTGGTTCAGAGGATAGGCTGAGTTGATAGCAACTGAGGTACAAAAAGTTTGCAAGCCCAACGCCAAAAGTCCTGTTATTGGGAGGATAACAGCATACAATAGAGCAACCATGGGTGATTTCCTTTGGTCTTGTTTTTGAAACCCAATACTGTTCTCAGTGTTTTGTTTTGTGTAAGTCTATTGTTTCACCCTATTCAATGCTTTATTTTGATTGGCTTTATTCTGTTTTGTTTTATTTGATTTTACTATGTCTGATGTTATGGACAACTATTGTGACGATACTAGAATATATTATAGTAGCCATTGTTGATTTTCTATTATCCTATTTTGAAGTTCTGTACCACTTTCACTGTTTTGTTTTGATTGACTTTATTCTGTTTTATTTTGTTAAGTTTTATTCTCTTACTTGATAAATTATACTACATATATATATATATATATATATGCTTATTGTTCTAAGTATTCATCTTCTTTTCTTGAGTTTGTCTCCTCCAGTAACGTAATAATTGTATTTATAAGTCAATGACTCATTTATCTGACCTTAACCTAGATTTATCACTACCAAAATCTTCAAGCCCTAAATCATTTCCATTTTCAAGGCTTCTTTCATTAACCACAATTTCTTTTTTTATCTTTCCACGCCTCCTCCCATTGCCCTACTCCCTTCCAACTTTTGGTCTGGTGATACTTAGAAATCCTTTATCCTATCAGTCAGCTGCTGTCTCTCATTGTGCAAATGTCCCCACCTCCCAGCCTTATTTAAACCCCATGACTAATTGTTGCAATCATCCCACTACAGCTACCTACCAATCTTTTTCCACTTGTTGCTTTGATTTTTCACTTGTAAAAATCAGAGTTCTAGCTACAAACAAACTCTCATCCATGAGCATTAGAACCAAGTCAGCTGTGCGCTAAAGAAAAAAGGCTCCATAACCACACTGACCATCTCTATTTAAACCCATGAACACAAACTCACTATATTGCTAGGGATTGATGTTAGATAGAAATATTTATATCCATTATCCCCCATCTAATTTCTCTTCACTAGATGTCCCCACATTTCTGTTGACCTTAATAACTTGTACTAAAAGCTATCCAATCTCATAGGTTTAAAAGTCACCCACCACTAATATTCTAAAAGTTACAGCTCTCCTGAACTCAAGCTATAAACCTGAAGTTTTCACTTAGATTTCTCACAATGAGCTCACACTCCACAGGCACTAAATTGTGACTGTTTACTATTCTATGTAATGGAAATTTCATCTTTCCTTTTTTTATATTTCACTCAGTACTACCCTGATCCTCCCCTTTGTCTCACATCCCAATGCAATCCCACAGGAAATTTTACTGTGTTAATCTTAACATACACATAATTCTCACAACCAGGCTTTGCAACCTTTATTTCTTTTCAGTTTTCTACTCAGATCCCTAAGCAGTGTCTCTAATTGTGCACCACCAAACATTGTACACTCTGCTTAACACTGTAGCCACAGGGATTCCAAGAGCAGACAATACTATTTCTCAAAACCCAGAAATTGTTCTTTGATAACCAGAAACATATAAATAGTAACTGCAATCCTTTAAAATGATGATTAGCCTCTTAACTTCTCTGCATCCCTCTGTTTCATATCTTTTTGGTCACTCCTAATTGCTACTGCTTCTCAAAGACAAGGTTGTTTTCCCTGCCTGTACACACTGGTTGGACCACTCTTTGGTGAACGCCCACTTGACTGGCTCCTTCAGCTAGTGGAAACCTTTCTCGAAACACCAATTACCAAGAAGATCTTTCCTGATCATCTTACATAATTTTGGTGACCTGAAAACAACTTCTCCACAGTACTCAGAGTTCTGTTCGCATTCCAGTTCAGGAACTCAGATCGGTTTTTTTTTTTTGTTTTTTTTTTTTTGTTTTTTTTGTTTTTTTTTTTTTTGTCTTTTTCATTTTTATCGGTACCAGGGATCGAACTCACGACCGCCTGCTTGCAAGGCAGGTGCTTATGCCGCTGAGCTAAATCCCCAGCCCCAAGATCGGTTTTTTTGTTTATTCGTTAAAATGTTTCCCCTCCTAGAATACAAAACAGTTTACTTGTGTGTGCCTATGAAATTTTGTACTTATTTGAAATCTTTGTCATTTGGTGTTCTTTCCTTGCTACTAGTGTGTCAGGCCTAAAAAGCAAGAAATTTTATTGTTCAGCAATATTCCAGCTACCTAGAGCACTACCTGGCAGTGGAAACTCAAAAATTTCTGAAAGGATAAATTAATATTACAATAGCATAATTGAACAGAATGAAATATGCAAAATTCATGTGTATAGTTGAAGGAACGTCACTAGAAATGTCAATAAATTAGATGAGTAGAGGTATTTAGGATTGATATATGAGATATGCAATAAAAGATCCCCCTTTGTTTCCACCCCGTCCCAAAGCGACCACTGGCAGCAGGAATTATGGATAAAATTTCCCCTTTAAATTTTATATCTTGCCACGTATCTGGTTGCCATGCCGCCTAATCACTTAAGCCAAGTTATGAATTAATTAGTTTAAAAACCTCAAATCTAAACTGTCTTTAAAATTCCCTTAACACTATGTAATGTTCTCTAGTGGCTATTTCTTTTCTGCTCTGAAAGAATTAAAATTAAATATAAGCAACAATGTTAATCAAAATTTTAATAGCTATAATTCTGTTAAGGGATAATTCTTATGTATTTCATGCTTCAAGTTTATGTAACTTTGAAGTGATTTTCCTTATTGAAGTAACAAATCAGTGGGTAATGTAAATTGAAATACCTCAGGGAGTAATTACTCTAGACTCACAATTTTAAATTGAAATTATACTGTTTACAAAAATTAGTTCTTTAAATAACGTAGAAAGGAATAAATTTAACTTATTAGATTTCAAAGAATTATTTCAAAATATGGGAATTTTGTCTCTGTTTTAGGTGAGCAAATGAATGCCCCTTAAAATCAGAATCAAAGGCACTAAAATTATAGATGATTTTTTAAAATATTAACATATATGAAAGATTTTGTAAAACTACTTTTAATATATCTATTAAAATGCATTATATTCACCAAGGACTAATGAGATTTTTAGTGGAACATAAAACCCTAATAATGAATCAGAGACTTAAAGATTTGCATCTGAAATTTTATAAATCTAACATAAAAACTAATGTAAAATATAACTTTATATAAATATAAAACAAAATGTAATTGATATAAAAAATTAAAATAACTCTGAACTAAACATTTCTGTGCACAAAAATTCCCACAGGGACATTTTATTTAGGAAAAAGAAGCTTTCATTAATATAAATGAGCTTTTTAAAAGTTTCTAAAGTTGTTTTGAATCGTAAACAAGAGGAATAATTCAACCTAGCACTCTCTCTGTTGGCATTTCTTTCTCCTGTATCTTGCTTTCTCCTGCCTCCTAGAATCACCTCCCAAGGGAACTATTTTTATATGTCCTAGAACAATCTCCGCTCTTCAGCAAAAGGAAATATGCAGCAAGCAGTACATCAGACACTCTCAAGAAGACTTCCACTTCCAGTCCAGCCAAAAGAGGAACAACTAGCTTCACTACTTACTTGACACAACAAAAATCCAACATGAACCAAGTGTTGTCTCTGAGACTCAGAAGGTGAAGGACGGTGACCCCTGACAGATGAGAAGCAGTGAAGTGAGCTGTACCCTTCCCTGCTGACCACCTTACACTGGAAGTTCATCAGAAGGTGCAACACTAGCAGAATTTTGCAGGAATGCATAGCATAAAGAAACAAGCTGCACAAAGTTAGAGTCATCTGCACAGCATCCTTTCTCATGCCATGCCTGAAAACTGATCAACAATGCAGATGAGGAAACTACTCAAGATACATGACAGAAGTGCTCAGAAACACAGGAATCAATTCATTGTGTATTGCAAAATCCACTAGTAAAAATTCTTAAAAAATAAAAGCTTCTCCTTATTTCAAGCTCTTCAGATGCGACCTGACCTGTTTTGGACCATTCATTCCAGATGTGCCAATCTCGTGTTCATTTCCAAATACATTCAAGGTTTCAAGAGCTACCTTCCCCTCAGCTTAGGTGACACATCCTTGAGGGGACATTGGAGCGATCACTCATTATGAGGGTGATCAGCACCAGGTTAAGCGTTGCTCTGGTGTAGCCTAACAAGTCTGTAATACAAAACACAAATCAATTCCCTCCACGTACCTTAAAGAATTCCCAGGACAAGACATCACAAGATGGATAGGACCACAAAACACACAGCATTCTGGAGAGGAAAGAACAGTGTCCCTCCTCCAATCACAGATCGCTGGACATGGAAGGAAGAAGAGAACTTGAGTCATCATTTGGAGGAAAACAAATCATTTGCAATAAATACAGAACTGATAGCATTAATAGTAAACAAAAACATTAAAAGAGTTACAATTGTGTGGCATCTATTTTAAAAGATGCTGGAAAGTTTGAACATATTACGTAGAATACATATAATCCAAAGTTAAATACTGTAGCACAACCATTTAAATGGCTAAAATTAAAACACCTGGATACAAAAATACAGAGCAAGTGAAATGCTCATGTACTGCATCTGAGAATATGAAACTAAAATATCTTTAAAAAGCATTTTTCACTTTTGAACAAAGTTAAACATATGCACCATGGCTTAGGTATTATGTATTTATATGGCAGGAATAAACACACATGCCAGTGCAAAGACTTATACATCAATGTTCATAACAGCTTCATTAAGCATCAGTTAAAGCTGAAACAACCCAGGTAGTCACTTACCAGTGAAGGCATTGACAACTTATGACATGACCATACAATAGGATCCTACTCAACTATAAAAAATGAATATTTGGTAGGTACAATATGGATGAATTTCAAAGTTATTGCACTAAGAGAAAAACCTAACCAAAGGCTATAATACGTGGTTATATATATATATATATATATATATAGTCTAAAAAATTCATGTTAATCTATAGTAACATAAACTATCTGTGTTTGCACAGAGATGCAGGGCCAATGGGTCCTTCTGCTCTCTCTTTTATCCATGGAAGGAAATAGGGTTACGGGGAACCCACCTTGTTCAGACCTGGGATAAACACTTAAGGTGGTGATGTGTGAGGTACAGCTTGTGAAGAATGGTGGCAGATCCAGGGCCCAGGGCTCACATGGAGTGACCACAGCTCCAGGATCCAGGCATAGATGTACCTGCTATGGTGGTCACTCTGGGGACTGAGGAGATGCTGGAGGGTCCTCCAGCTCAAACTATGGGATGCTATACAGGAGGCACTGGGGACCACAGCGGTAACTGCTGATGACTGATACTCAGAGTTCCTACACGTCTGATTCCTACCCATGGCCAGGCTTCTCCTTTCTGATGCTCTCCTCAGAAACCCGGATGTGCTGAACTCCAAGGATGAACCAGTGTATGAAAGGCCAGGGAAGTGGGTCCAGCACTCACTTGGCTTCTGTCTTCACCCATGAGTGAAACACTTGCTTTCTGCCAAACTGTCCCCTCCTGGCACGAACTTGTGCCATCCTGAATGAGGGATGTTACGAGGGAAATAGAGCTATCCTCCTCAATTTTTGTGGAGATATTCTTTAATTTTTGAAACTGTCCTGGGTTATTACAGTATCTTAACTAGACTCCTAAGCTCCTTCAGTGCTATTTTAGTCCAGAGATTTCTGCCTAATTGGTATTTGGAAGGAGGAGTGAGGATCCAAATATCTTTTACTTTGTCCTCTTGCTGATGTCATTCCATAATGTTTCTTTAGTGAACCAGAGGAAGATGTACATCTATGACTATGGTTTCTCCCAGACTTTTTCTCTCTCAGTTCACGTAGCTACCGCCAAGTCTCCAACTCTTCTAAGATAATATAAAAGTAAGATGACTCAGAGTAAGTAACAGGAATTGCTCAAGGCTTCAGTTCCTCCTAATCACTCTATCTGTGGCTTGTAGCACTCAGCTTTCTCCTCCTAATCTTCCCAGTGCACTTTTATCTTTCCTCTAGGGATTGTGCCTACCCTCAACACTCAGTTGACCCAAAGCCCACAATGACATGTTCTATCTTTCTGCAAACACCACTCTCAGCAAGCATTTATGAGTAACAGGTTTTGTTGAAGGCATGGTAAGTAACACCAGGATTTTACATAAAAGCCTAACAAAATTTAAAACACAAAATTGAGTATTATATATCCTGTTTTTTAAAAAAACATTGGCACTGTAGAGACTCAGTTTCCTAACCTATGCCTTATCCCTTATCTCTGTATTCCTTTGTTCACCTGCATTCATTTCATTTCACAAAAATGATCATAGTAACAGCATGCTTATTTTAATTTATTAAGCAGAGAAACACACACACATCAACAGAGATTTTTGAGAAGTTAGTAACAATCATGCTATTCCTATTAGAACTAAAACTTAGCAAGTATATGTGGAGGGAATAATTTTTGTTCAGATAATCTTGGAAGGGCTATAAGTTCTAGAGAATCCTCTTCTATGATAGAGACATCGTCTAACCATCAACATGTCAAAGTGGGTTGTGTGGTAGGTGGGAAAAATACCCTGTAGAAGCATTGCCTTTCGTGTGCATTGGGAATATGACAGTAGCTTTCTTACCTGGAATGTTCTGCAAGGTGGTCCCTAAGGTTAGATCTTCAGAAATTCTGAGGAAATCCTTAACAGATACATGGGGGAGGGGGTCCATAATAAATGTTAAATAATCTAGAAATTATATCATTTGAGTTTTCTGTGTCCTCTGCTTATCATATATACGTAATATATATTCCCCCTGAGAAATATGATTTTATAATTATTATGATTATGTAGGATAGGATGATTAAGTAATCTTTCTCAAGTTTGAAAAGTTCAGAAGTGAACATAAAGTGATCTTGAATTGGAAATGATCACTTTAACAGCCTAAGAGAAAGGGAACAAAATAAGCCGTCTGTCCACACTCTACCTCCCATCCACCCCGGGGAGCTACAACTCTTCCAGTAACTACAGGCTCCCCAAAGCCACAGGGGAAACTCGCTGGTCACAGAGTTAATTGGTAGCACCTACTCTTGATTGCTAGGTTACTTACTGATGTGTTTATTACCACAGAGCCACAAAATCATCCCCAGCTGTACTCCTCTTGCAGTAGAAATGTACGCTATGACTTAATCATTAATGTCACTAAAAATATCTAATGTGCTGACTCATCTTCATTTTCATGAACATTTGGGAACAGTGTAGATTAGGTTTCTGCTTCTCACAAGCTCTTTCACAACAGAAACATAAATAGTCAAAATTTTGGCTTAGACTTTCTACCCCTAGCCACCTTAAACACCTACCCACTGTTTAGACCATTGTATATAATATTTACAGTACAATTGAATAAAGGAGAATATGACACATATGAAGGACATCAATTTGTTTGATTATCTATTGTTATTATAAACAACATGCGAGCAAATAATGCTAAAGCTTAAAATGGATGCATATACCTTCAAGGGCTGCCTGCTCCACCTGAAAGGCACAAGTCAGTGCTCAAGGCTAAATGGTAATAGATCAAGGGAAAAACTAAATGCTGTTCAATCTCAGCTGACTTCTCTATCTAGGATACACTACACATTTTAAATTTCATATTTGACAAAAAGCTACCAGAACAGGACAAATTCTATTAGAAAATCACCACATAGGAGCAAGCTACTAAATGCAAGCTACTATAGGATACCAAGGCTTCAGTTTTCCATACAGTCTGATTTTTCCAATGAAGAAATTTTCCTAAATTAATAAGAAAGGATGGTGGTACAAAATTGGATACTCCCTAATAGTTCAGAAATTGATAGCTTCATAAACACTATTCTTATGGATTGAATGTATGTATGTCCCTTCAAAATTCATAATGTAAAATAATTTATAACGTAGTATCCTAGCACACTAAGTAATGGTACTAAAAGTTGGAATCTTTGGAAGATAATTAGATTATGGGTTTGGAGTTTTACATAACTGTCCTTATAAAAGAAACTCTAGAAAGCTCTCTAGCACTCTTTCTATGACATGAATATACAAACAGAAGCTGGCAGTCTGCTCTCACCAGAACCTGACTATGTTGGATCTCTGGTCTTAGACTTCCCGAAGTGTGATATATACACATTCCACTGGTGATAAATCACTCAATCATTATGATAGTATGCTGAATTAAACATCAAATTTCTCATCCAATCACTGTTAAAACTAGAGTAAGATAGTTTTCAATTTCTTTTAGAAGTTGAAGTAATTAAACATGATAGAGAAAGTGAATTTTCATTAATAATCAACATAATTGCAATGGACAATATATGCAACACTGTATTCAACTGACTTGGTAATTTAGATATAGATAGACATAATAGAAAATAAATCTCAGCTGTCAAATGTAAGAAAAGGTGATAGAAGTAATGTAAACCTAGGACATAAGATAATATAGCCAAATATATTCTTAATTTACTTCATAAAGTTGTTAAAACATTTGTAAAATTTACTTACAGTGTATAATTTTATAATTATGAGGCTACACTCATCACCAAATTCATGTTACATTTTTTTAGCATTTGTGTTTGACTTTATCAAGAGATGAATATGAGATCCACACTAGTAGTATTTACCAGCATCATCCCAGGCTGAAATGCTTTCACCAAATATATTTTCTTCTTCAAAATAAAGCCATCAAGAGAGCACCTCAGTGTGTGGAAAACTCTGTAGGAGGATTATGTTTCAGTTGGGAGAAGAAAAATAATAAAATGAAGCAAAATGTTTTAGCACCTGTTTTACTACAGAACTGGAGTCATATTATCAAAAGCATTTAAAGAAAATGCTCGTTTGAGTCATATTATCAAAAGCATTTAAAGAAAAATGACACAAGTAGTCATGACATGCTAGGAAATTTGGTGACACGCATTTTAAAATGTACAACATGATATATTTAACACGAATTAGAAGAACTGGAAGCTACAGGTTGAAAAAGCAATAAAAATCCAAGTACATTGGTTGAGGGCTGAATTGTATGAAAGCTTACATGGAGATACTGAGGGAAAAGGAAAAGGAAATAGCTAAATTTAATTCAAAGGCAACAAAGGCAGCAATGATTCAACAGATAACTGTCTTACAAATAATTTTAAAAAACAAGATGATAACATGTATCTGATTTGTGTTTACTGAAATACCGAGGTCCTGTTAATAAGCATGGAAAAAACCTCTTTACTGATCTATTAACACCTCTACAAAAGCTGAGAATTGGTTAACAGACAACACAATCAAAATGCAGATCATTTCCAGT